TGAACATGGCCATAATCTTGAAGAAAGGTCATCCCTTTTTTTTTTTTTTTTTCTCCCTTTTTGCCAAACAAAACACTAATTACATGAATATGGCCATAATCTTGAAAAAAGGTTTCTCAATTTTCTCCTTGTTAGCCAATTTCTTGAACCGAATGAAAGGACAAAAGTAACATAAAGGTAATCAACCGTATGTAGGCAACTCGGTTGGTACATATACGTACGTACATATATTCACGCATAGATACATACGAATATATAAATGATGAGAATTTATTATGGCAAACACTAGCACCAACCTAGTGGACCAAATAATAATCAACATCACTGATATTCTAATTTTGCATCAGCCTCTTTTTCTATCATAAATGGTGCCTTTTCCCTGTCCCGCCCGGCCCTGTATTACTCACATGGACACCATCCTCTCATCTCCTATACAAAAAATATAAAAGCTCAACCTAATTTCTGTACAATGCACAAGTTAGAACCCAACAAATTTTCCTCCTTTTTTGCCTTCTCCCTTAAACTTCTCTTCCGGGATGGAGCAGCCAACTAAACTTTGGCAATACACTATGCATGAACCTTTAAAAATCTCTTAAAAAATATTTATCCAAGTGACAGAGATTCTGGATATTAATGAAATACCTATCTGCAACTGAGATATCAAGAGAGTATCATGGACGACGATAACTGTTTTAGCCGGAACATTGACAGTAAAATCTTTCACTCCGTCCATTGATCTCAGAATCCTCTCTATCAGAGGAACTTCCGATGAACAGCATAGGCCCAACACATCAAAATAAGATTTCTGAAACTTTTTAGACATACTGCCTTCCATAAAACTCAACTTTTCTTGGTCTTCTGCATACACAATCACAAAAAATTCCAATAAATTAATTGATCTATTCATACACGATATAATACACACACACACACACACACTATACATATATACATACATATATACACATATATACACATATAAACTCATATACATATACAGAAACAAAAGTTCACACACACACACACACACATATATATGTTCATAGCTCTCTTTATTATGGGTTGGGTACCTTGTGAGAGTTCTACAGGTTCTAGTTTGTGGTGGCAAGAAGAGGCTGGAATTTATAGAAACTCATGCAAATGATATGACAGGGACTAATAACAGATTAAGTATAATAACGGAGGAGCGTTAACTGAAAGAAAGAAAAGAAGTTCACTTGGAATGAGTATTTTATTCTTGTCCAAGAATAATCCTCTGACATTTGGACCTCGGGATGAGGCATATATATTGCTACTTTGCTAGGAATCAGAAACGTAAAGAACAAAGTAAGTTGGAGTCCACATGTAAAATGCACTATGTGAGATTTGTAAAAAAAGATTTCAAGCTAGGAACCCTCAATTATTGCTTTTGGAATTCAAAAAGAACCAAATTATTACAACAGTTAAAGTAACTATACTTGCAAACTTAATTCCAATTTGCTACAATTAGTTAGTTACATTTCTCTTCATCAAAGAAGTTTTGGATGTTTGAATATATAATTATAATCTAGTAAGTGCATTTCCAATGCAGTTCATTGATTGCAATCTAGATATGCTACATCGAGGAGGAGTTATTATTATTATTATTTGTAGATATTCTCTATTTTAGCTCATATGACAACCTTCTAATGCAATCGACATTAACATTGACGATGCTCTAACTTTTTGTCAAGAATTTTGTATTATCATTTAATGAGTTTAGATATATGAGGTCTCTGTAAGGTTGTACTCTTAGCTATCCCGATATATTGTATTTTGAAACGAATAATGCTGATGAAAATACTAATGAATAAAAATGAATCACAACTCAATTGATGGACAATTAATAAGTGAACTCTGACGTCATCTAGACTAATATTAGGTACCGACGATGCCGCATGTATTACTTTTTTAATCATACCATAATTTTGAAGTCTCAAAATTTTAGAATTATTGAAGATCCACTAAATCTCACTACAA